TTTGTAATTCATGATACCCGATGAAACTAACAAGTGGGTGTTTTGGTTAATTATTTTTATTATACGTAGTTTAGTCAATTTCGTTATTACAAAAATAGTTTTGCTAGGTACATATTTGATCTTTTTCCTGTATACAAAAGTATATTGAAATTTCCAGATTCCGTACTGGTACGTGTATATGTATGTACGTACGTACAGTACGTACGTACAATGGTATGCCTAGATTTAAAATTTTTCTATTTATAGTAATCTGTATAGATCCATATATACGGTTTGGTATAATTGTGATTTCTATATTTAATTGAACGGAATTTTGTCATTATTAACTTTATTGCAAATTATAACGTGTAACCTAGATTAAATTTACCGGTAGAAATTGACAGTACTGTGCAATATTACACAAATTTCTGTAGAAGGGTAAAAAAAATAAAGGACATATTTACTTTATCTTAAAAATTCCTTGTGCTAAAATAAAGTATAGTTACTGCAGTACTTTATTGCCCTCTTTAAGTCATGTAACGATTTAATTATCCGAAAACAAAATCAACCATCATGTAGTATTCCTTCAAGATAGGATAAATTATTTTGAAGGTGATGGGTTACATGACCCAATATTTCATGCTATTTAAATCGGAACTTATCAATAAGATTTAATGTCAGGAGGATACTATAAATGGCTCCGATTTATTTTAATTCACAAAGCAAAACAATAACTTTTATGAAAATTTGTGTCACAATGATACAGAAAATTGATTTTATCATAAAAATTTTCAATTGTTCAATCGTAGAAAAAAGGAAATGTTTTTTTTATTTTAGTAAACGAAAGTAACTCATAGTACACATACAAGAATCATAGCGGAGTTTCTGCCGATATTAGATAGTAGCTGCACAATTATAAAGTGTTAATGATATCTCGCTTTTTTAAAATGCTTATTTCTCTAGATGTAAATAGTAGCAATACCAATAACAAAGACTAAATCAGGTAATACATATGACATTATACATTATATACAATGATTGCCAAGATAAAATGTTAGCGGTCTTCCAAGTTTAATGCTACATTACATATTACGATCTTAAAATAGCAAAAAAATAACAAAAGCTGTACTATATTTACGGTAATAACAATAAGGAATGGTACAAAACTTGGCGTAAATGTGTCGCAAATTCACTGATTAGGTCACCATAATCAAGGAACATTCAAATCAAATAAATTTATGCGTGTTAGCATATGATGCGAAAAGGTCGAGTAAAAGGAAAACAATAAGTGATTAGTTGTTATAATTTCTAAAGTTAAATTGAAGGACGAAAACTTATCTTTTTAAATAGACAAATCCATCTTTTAGAGAAATTTGAGTCTTTGCTGTAAAAGAAATAAATCAACAAATAAAGCTTTACTTATTCCAAGTCATAAAAAATCTTAAATTTACAGTTGTAAAAGAAAGGGCCTTGTGATTAAAAATTATATTCAAAAAAATGACTTAAACCTTGTTAACATAAATTACTTATCGAATCACAACGTCATGCCTTTGGCGAGACTATTTTTGGATCACGTGTTCGATATCCTGAAATTTTAGCATAATTACCCATGCCAGCCAGTGTTGAGCTTTAGCATACCATGTGACTGAAATTCATGGTAAATAAAGCAGCCCAATAATCATATCGATTATTTTTGTTACGAGCGGTATGTCTATTAACTTTGATTATTACAAGCATGCGAAAATCAAAATCCCGGAGGTTAATTATCGCACCGTGTGATATTGTGTGATAATATTTACTATTAATCATACGATGTGATAATCAAGTCTCGGGATTTTTGATTAGGCGTCGGTTACGTCAAAATTATGAAAGTTTAGAATAGCTACAGTAATAGGAACATTATATAGGAACATTGTTTATGTAAAAGAAACTTCATATGAATAAACGATTGTGGGCGTCAAATCGCATATGCAATGCTGATATCATTGAACATTTGCATAGACGCCATTAATGTTAACAATGACATTTTAGCATGCATACTATTAACGAAAAAGATAAGGGGTTCAATTATAAAAGGTTATGTTAAACCGGTTTTTAATATAAGGTGCGGCTGTAAATATATCTAGTATACATATGTTAAATATATCGATATTGTACTTGCCGATGGAAAATCGGAATATTGGAAAAATTATGTGATAATTTACATCTATTCAAAAAAGTACCTATGAAATGATTATTTTTTAAATATTCTGAAGTAATTCATTTCAACGTTAATACTTACCCTAATTACCTTAATTATCTTAATTACCTTAATGCTATTAAGGATTTCAACAAAACTATTAGAAACTTCTAATGCGCATATATATTGCATATATATTGCATATATATCGCATATATATTAGCTGAAATATTGAAATTAAAGAACTAGAAGTTTCCAATACACATCACTGACCTATATTTGATGAAAATTAAAATGTTATAAATGTTTACTAATCGATTTTTGTAATGTTAAATACACAAACCGGACAAAGCCGACAATACATCCTAAAGAATATGATATAAGAATTAATTAACATATTAACATATTATACTTTATAATAAATGACATCAAATAAATTATTCAAAGAAAATTTGAATATTAAATATAGAGAAACTAAGTAATGATTAAACAATAGTGTTATTATCGTTATTAGTATTATTGTTATTAGGAAATTTTATGCTAGATTTGATATCTAATTCATGGTATAAATCTTTGTATAAATCTTTGTCTTAAAACAATACCAAAAGTTTTCAAACAGTAAATATTGTTAATTGAGTAAATATACTGATTAATAGAATTTCAGAAACATGTAAGAGCTTTAAAAACGAGTATAGGGTTTGGAACCGTGTATGAAAATTATGCTAGCGTGAATATTGTCGTTTAACTATAAGCTACACGATTAATAATCGTTTTACCGTTGATTAATAATTTTACCGTTGATTAATCGTTTAACCGTTGATTAATAGTTTGGCTGCTTATTAATCGTTTAACCGCTTATTAATCGTTTATTGCGGTTTGCAAAATTTTGCAGATGTTCTGATAATTTATATCGCGATATCGGAGTAATCATTCATATCACGATATCGGGGTGATCTTTCATATCACGATATCGGAGTCTAAAAATCAAATGATTTCTTTTTTTTTTTAGATTTACAAAATTTTGCAAACCCGCAATAAACGTTTATTGATTTATTTATCATTTTATCAATCAATTATATGCCGCATACATATTAATTACCCGGTCTTTTAAAACAACTCGTTCCTAATGAAACCTTGGATCAACACCATAAACTAATAAACTTTCACAAGTTATCGGCCTGTTTTTTTAAAAAAAAATTAAAAACTACCTTATATTAAACTTACCTTATGCTAGCGACGCACATTTGTCCTATGAATAAAATCCGATTAACAATCTTTATGATATAGACATGTACAGTACATGCTATTTACAACGCGCATATTTTTTTTTTTTTTGCTTTCACATGAGGCATTAAACGATCATTTCATATAAAATTTAAGGAACTTGTAAGCGGATAATTTAACGATTTTAATCTTTTATAAAAAATTTTTTTACTCATTTAGCCGTGTTATATAAATAACCGATTAAATGAATAACGGTTCCAATCCTTATACGAGTATTGGAAGTTGTAAATAGTTTATTTTTAAAAAAAACAAGTACCTGTCTCAACCAAAGTAGAAAATTTTATAATTTTAATAAATTGGTTTATTTAGAGAGTATTTGGCTATTTAATAATTCGTCTCCTAAAAAAAAAAAAAAGATTTCTTTTTTTTTTAGAATTATTGGTTTAACTTTTTGCTATTCTTCATTGATGATTGATTCTGAACGAATCATTCATTACGGCTGATTCCTCCATAAATGCTAATCATAATCGGTAGATATTTACCATAAATGATTGATTGCTATGGAGATGAACCTTTCCCACAATGTATACATGCTATTTCTGTTCTGATTCATTTATAACTATATATATTAACATATATGTATATATTAACGAGATTCATTATGAAAATAAACAGAGTTGCGGAATTGCGGTAAATATTTTGAGCCTTTTTTTTTATTTTAGGTAAATACCATTTAAAAAGAATCACACTATCGTTATTCAAAAACAGATTTAGAAAATGAATAAAATCATATTCATTCAAAATATTAATTACTCAATCGACAATTATTCCAATCAATAATAAATATTCTTCGTTCATTTTATGACTCTTTATAGTTAATCTAAGTTTTCTTGTCTTTCAGGTTTTCATAATTACTGGAATATTCGCTACGTATAAAATTTGGAAAATTTTGGTCTCCGTTGATTTGTAGATGTTCAATAACAATTACATAATAACCAAGTTCACTTTGTCTTTATAAACCGGAATTTAGTAAAATTATTATGAGCAATGAGTCGTACTAGTACATGTTAAATGCGTGTGTACGTACGTGCATACGTACACTACATATGTACGTACGTCGTGTTTACCATTACGCGATAGCCAGTAATGTATGGAATTTTTGATATTGTAAATGTAAAATCACTAAATATGGTAATTCTTTTATTGCAAGATTTTAGCAAAAAATCCTTATTAAATGTTATCTCTTTACACTTAAAGAACAATTTAATTACTTAACAAATGCAAGTTACTTATTATTTTATAGCAATATCTGTCAGTGTTAAAAAAAAAAATCATTAACACTGAAAATTTGATATTACATCTTTATTAATTTTCCGGAAAGGAACGATTTCGATTTTTTCCGAAAATAACACATCATTTTTACTAAGTTAAATGAACTATCTAATTTTGTTAATTCTATATTAGTTAGGTTCCAGATCAAGAAATAACCAGTTTTGTTAGTTTTGTTATTAAAAATAAATAAAAAATGTGGGGATAAGAGAAAAAAAAAAGGAAATTTATATACATGGAAATTATTGAGTACATAATGCTTTTTTTTTTTTTTTTAGTTTCTTAATATCTAATGATATCTTATCTAAATACACAAGTGTCCTAAAATATGCTAAATTTCTCCGAATTTTTAATGAAAATTTGAATTATTAAAAGCATTCTGTCACTATTTGAGTTCTTATGATCCTATTTCAAATTCACACTAATTCAATATATTAGATAACGTTGGTCTTAATGGTTCTTTGGGTTTTGGTCCACGTTTTTTACCAGAACTAACATAAGTACATTCTTTGTTCCTTCGAACACAATTTGTGCACCTATCTCCTCCTGAGCATTTCTCTTTCTTCGCTCGGCAATTAGTACAAGCTTGCTTTACATAAAGTCTGGTTTTTTTAGCTTCAAAGTCTGGAGTTTTCTTAAGTTGGTTGTCTTGATTTGTTAGACATACATTGCATATAGAAAACTTTTTTGCTTGATCATCCTGACTTGGCATGTTAAAGTTATAATGATTTAAAATCGCAATCGAACAATCTGAACTATAACGATATTCCATTTCTTCTTATTTTATTTTATTTTTATTTTTTACAAGTATTAAAAGTGTAATTAAACAGAGATTGATTGAAAATACAGTGTTTTTTTTTTGAAATGTGAGTGAAAAATCAATGGTATTTATATGTTTTTAGTGAAATGCGGATAATCAAAATTGAAAATTCCGCATTTTCCCGCCGAATTTGGATAGATCAATAAACAGTAAAATACGTAACAACTAACAATAGAATAGTAAAAGAGGCAATATATATATATATATATTGTAAACGGAAAATAGGAAATGATACTGTGAATATCACATTTGCTTTGATAACATTTTTTTAGAAAAAATTTTTTATATATAATATTCAAAAAGGAAATAAGAATGTTGTAATGTCAAAAAAAAAAAAAAAATTATTAAGATCATTTTAACAAAACATACACACATAAGTACATACATAAATTCGACTTGAAAATATGAATTTGAATAATATAATGGTAGCGATAAAAAAAAAATTCTTGAACTGTATCTAATTTTGCACAGTCAAAGCTCTTGGTAAACTAATTACTTGATAAAAAAATTGGTGTATGTCCGAATCTATATAAAAGGAGCTAAAAATGTCCGATCGCCGCAGTGCTACCTAACTTGAGTGATCACTTCGGCATAATTTTATCGAGGCCACCGGTCCGGACAATCTGCTATCTTATGAATGATATTTAATTATTAAATCCGGATTTACACAGTGCTTATTACTATATATTTAAAATCTTCATTTTAATAATATAAATGTATAAAATAGGATTTATTTTAAAGATTATTTTAAAATAGTTGCAGCTTTCCTTATTTACCATTAATGTTCCTATTGTCAGAATTTATCGAGCAACCCATGACTAAAATCAAAACACGTAATGCAATTAATATGATTATATCATTTACTTGTTTTTTTTTTACATTATTACTGCTCTATGACGTTCATGATGATATACCATGCTGCGTTCCCTAATAATAGAGGCACACTTGAATTCCAATATTAATCATTGTTGCGGACAGTACAACTATTGAGATACAGTACTGAAGATACAAATACTTGAAACTACTGCGCTTTGCCAAGGCCAAAATTGCACTGCGGTAATTTAATAATCAAATTTTGCAAAAAAAAAAAAACTTTTTTTTAAAAGATAAGATATCGGTATCGATATTCCAATTATTTTTTAATATTAAAAATAATTCCGGTTTTAACCACGTTTTTTTTTCGGTAATCGGAATATTGAAATCGGAAGAGTTGCAAATTTTTTTTATAGAAAAAAAAAAAAAAACAAAAAAATTTATGGAATATAATTCCGTAAAATCCAAAAATAGAATTGGAGAAAAAATCTAAAAATCGAATTAACTCGGACCTCGGATGTGATATGAATAAAAAAAATTACGTGTCTCTAAATTTAACCAGAAAGCGTGTCTCTAAATTTAAATTTTGTATGAATTTCAATTCCGAATTTTGGAATTACCGGCAATTAAAAAAATTATATATAAATTTCCAATCTAATTTTAATTAATTAAGTAATATGATAAATTCGAACTTGGTTTCTAGACTTCTTAATGTATGAAAGGATTACATAATTAAGAGATCTAAGAGATGATTGTTTTATTCAGTATTTACTATCACTATGGTATAAAATTCCGTTATCGTTATTATATTACGAACTCAAATTGTACAAAATCAACATGATATGTAACAAGACTAACACGTTAGATAACTTTTACAAAAGGGTAAAAAAAAAAAAAAAGGGTATTTGACTAACTAAAATTAGAAGATTTTCACAAGCGTTTTATATTCTAAATAGTCACGATAATCATTCATTAACAGGTTAGATCAGGAATGCGGACAAACTTTTTTCTATCACTATAAAACTTACAGGAATATAAACTTGTTATGGGTAGATTATCTCCGGAAATAACGAGGTCAAGAGCGATTACGTATATATCACGTGAACGGCATTTTCTTGATTCAGATATTAATGAAATAGAATGATCCTTCATAACTTGAATGACTTTCCATAATCTGAATATTTTTTCATAATCAAATGTTTTTTAAATTAAATAAAATAATATGTTGTTTTGTCATTAGTAATTCAATTTCCAAGTCTATTTCTAACCTCGGTTCTTCGGCTATGTGTGACAATTAACAATTAGTAATCGTTGTGGCTTATGTGTCACAAAAAAAATGCCGAGTCACTATTACGCAATTCACCGGCAAAAATTTAGTCACATGAGGATATGTATATATTTTTTCATGTATTGGCATTTTTTAACCTCTAAACAATAATTAATAAGCAAATGATGCTTTGAACTTTTCGGGCTTATACATTTGCAGAATGCAATTACCAAAGATGTTAAACAATTCAAGCATTTATGAAAGAACAAAAGACTTGTAAAAATCAATTGTAATCTATTTAAAGAACAACTAATAACCATTTTGCGCGGACTTTGAATGAAATGTGTTCCAAAAAAAAAAAAAAAAAATGTGTCGTTCCCGACTTTGGCATGACTTTGGCGCGACTACGTTTACCTAATTAATACTTAAAGGATTTGATTTACTGTATATTGATGTATATTTAAATTCGTCAAAGCTATACAATTACGTATTCAATTTTTCACATTCTTCTTACGCAAAATTCCGATAACAAATTCTAATGACGAATTCTAATGATGAATTCTAATGACGAATTCTACTGACGAATTCTAATGACGAATTCTAATGACGAATTCTAATGACGAATTCCAATTCAAGTGGCTAAACCATTAAAATGCGAATTATGAATTCGCGTAATTTTCTTGACATAAAATCACACCTTATTACAGCTGTTTCAAAAAATTGTATATAAAAAATAAATACCCATATGCAGTACAGTATATAGAAGATCAAAGAATTTTGGAAAATTCGATTAAAAAAAAAAAAAAAATCCGGTTAAAATTTTGGTCTTGAAAATTCCGGAAACCTGAGATATCATGATTTTCTAAAGTGATCACTTCGTTTAAAATGATGACAAAAAGGTGTAAATAATGACTTTCATATGCAGTATGCAGAAGATCGAATAATCTGGAAATTTTTTGATTATTAAAAGATCGGATTAGTGCAACTCATGAAAATTCTGGAAATATAGAATGATCTACACACTTTTTTTGAAAAGTCGTAAGTTACTCGCGTCATGTGTTAAAAAATTTGATTGTTTAATTCTTGATGATTTATCATAAAATTAAAAATAAAAATAGACTAAGAAAATGAAAAAAAGGTATGTAGATCGGGAAAAATAAATATTCAGAGATTATTGTGTTTGTAAAGAATAAAATCATTCAGAAAATGTGTATCACTTGCAACATCATAACGGATAACCACCTTATCAAATCCTCCGAAATCGATATATTTTTTAATTTTCATTTTATATAAACAAAATTATTTTTTTCGTTGCAGCAGGTATAGGTTAATTTATTAAAGACTTAATTAATTATGAAATGTCAAATTTCTCTTAACTGTTAATAGTTAATATATCATAGACTTTAATTAATTATTTGTTCCAGCTTGATGAAAATGTTCTCTTACTACAGTACTAGTATTAAAAAGTTTATAAAAATACGGTTTTTTATCATCATAAATAGACAAGTAAAAAGTGGTCAAACTAGAATGGAAGTTAGGCCTCAGCCTTCAATAATGCACGGAATATTAAAAAATGAAGACACTAAGGAAAAAGGCAAGTATAATTCATAAACACAGTTTATAAATAATGTTCACCAAATCAATGTTTTCTTTTATGTATTAGCGTTGGCATAAAATTTATTGATAAACTAACGCTATTAAAATTAACATCTAACACTATGTGGTACATCTAATTTCGATTTTTGGTTAGGTTGCAAAATATGATGTAATGGTTTTCAGAAACTATGAATTTCGAAAGTGGGGATATAATTTCCGTTAAGGTTCGAGTAACGACCAAAGTTTTGGGTTTATATAATTTTCTCGACAATTTACTCGATAATATTATTGCTTTCTTCACGACAATTATATACCGAATAAATGATAGTTATTTCCCCGATAGCTATTACCTCAAAAACCAATTATAATGTACTAATACCTACCCTTACCATAACATAGATTCTCACCCTAACTCTAACAGACCCCGTGTCGGGAAGAAAACACTGCCGGTTAAATGATATTGTCGGTAAATATTTTGTCAGGGAAATGGTTGTCGAGAAAATTATGCGATCAGGAAAATAATTACTGACAGGGAAATCAGTGTCGGAAAAATTTATGCCGTCACAAATTTTTAGTTTTTTTTTTTCAGAATTTACAGCTGCTCTCATATAAATTCCAAGACAAAATTAAAAATTTTCTCATCTCCAAGAATCTATCCTGAATAGTGGTTTGATCCGTTATCCATTAGATACTGAATCTATTAGTAAAATCCGTATGATACCCGTTAAGGATAACTGATCCTGAAAATCACTTGGCACTTCCGGTGTTAGTGGTTGCTACCAAATTACTGTAAATTTTTGCATAATTTTATGTAACTTTACGTAATTTTATGTAATTTGGCGTAAATTTTAGTAAATTGATTTAGTTATAATTCATATGATATGTATGTAGTTCCTGGAGATCAAACTTTTGGCGATTGAGGTGTATGAAATCGAATCATTTATTAAAACAATGTAAAACCCGTACGTTAAATATAACGTAATGAAAATTATATGAAATCTGATTTATTGAACCTTATGTAAAATTACATGTAAGTTTGCTGTTCTCATAAATTTTGTGATAATTAACATTTTATCTTTCCTCAAGACCTCGCAGTTTCCGAAAAGTTAGGTTATTGTTGGAACGATATCGAGGAGATTCCGGGAAAAATGAAAATTTTATATTGACTGATTTGATTTTTTTCGATAAACTGTTGCTCAAATGTTTGCTTCTAAGCGTATGTTGAAGAAAGTAACCAACGAAACACTTATCATAACCAAGAACCGAGCTTTTATAGCATCAGACAAGACAAAAAACGAATAAAAATCAATAAAACGGCTATGCTAAGCTATATAAGAAGCGCTTTTAAAATACTCGAGAATTTTAGGATGGATGGGTGAAATCGGAATCAATTTTTCAAGAAAATGGCCTTTAAAACTTACTTCTGGTTTATAATTAAATAGGTTTCCTAAGATTTATGAACCTGGTTCCACATTTAACCCAAGTTGCAGGGGTATGTATAAATTTGGTACAACCTAGCGTAGAATTTGGTGCAAGTCTAATTTAATGGTGTTGGGTGTCCTTTTTTTCCTCGGTATCGATGCACCCGAAACTACCATGGAACACCATTATTTTTTTAAAAAATAAACAGTTTAATTCGAAATTGATAAATATACACAAATTTTATATGCCACTATTAAATATTATATCCAATAACTTGTGAACTTTATTAAACGATATATCCGATAACTTGTGAACTTTATTGAATATTATATCCGACAACTTGTTAACTTTATTTAATTTTAAATATCACAGTTCATTAAACTAATTAACCTTGGCCAAGAAAGTTGCCAATATATATTTTCGTATAAAAAATACTTGTACAATGTAATAAATATTAATAGCCAAGATTATATCCAATCATATCTACATACAAATTTTACCTAAAACATCGCAGAGAATAGATACCAAATTGTTAAAGAGGCGATTAAACATGATTGTACCCCCAAAGATTCCACTATTGTAAAAGTTCTAGAGGATTTAGAAATTGGAACAGCAGTCAGATTTGCGTTATCATTAAGTGGAGTACTAATTGAATTACTTGATACTACAGTACTTGATGGACCATTCGTTGGTATAATAGCTGTAGCATTTGGTGGTGTAGGTACATTCGTACTATTCGCATTAATCGTATTATTGCTTCCGAAAGCTGTAAAGACCTGTTGAGTTTTCACGATTTGGAATCCCTCTTGAGTACTAATGACAATTGTACCAACGAAAGTAATTGGTCCAACATCAGTTGGTGGAGGTCTCCACTTAAATTTGGTACCGGGTCGTTTTTTTGAAGGATCTTTAATAATTTAATAAAGTTTTTTTTTTTAGTAAATGATAATTTGCGTTCAATGAATGAAAATAAATAAATAAAACATACTTCTGTGAGTCAGTGTCCCTTTTGGATCACCGGTACAATTTGTCTTAAATTTGAAACCATGTGGGGGAGTCCACTGGCCAACATGGTTTTTAGCGGAATCTAAAGCATATAATAAGAGCCCTCTGAACTTTTTTTTTCCAGTAATTTCGAGAAAAATTGGTGGACCTTTCGGAATGTATTGATTATTCTTCAGGCAAACTTTAAAGTCGTACCCTAAACTTGCATTAAGTTTACCCATAGGTGATTTTGCTACACCTTCAATAATCATTTGATCTGAAAGACAAGTACCAGCCCCATAAGGAAATGCAGAAGCGACAGCTGCGAATATCAAAAAGAGTGTATAAATTAACAAATGCATGATAGATATTATGTATTTTTTCTTCTTTTATACGATAAAAATTAAATAAGTTATCGACCGGCGGTAACTTATTAAGTTGTCGGATTTTGGGATGCCTTTTGAACGGGAAGAGAATAAGGCTGATCCTAAATTCAAATCGTTGAATTTTTTTTTATATTTATTTTATAAAATAATTAATGATTACATTTTATCATATATGGGTTACAAGGTATTTGTAAATTTGACAGCGTAACATTAAAAAAACAATGTTATGATTAAAATGAAACTTCAATTTTACCCTTATATTTTACAAAGTCTTAAAAGAAAAATTGTCCGTTAACCAATAAATTACAATTATACTATTTATTATTTAATAAAGCAAAAGAGACATGTCTTTTCTCGGGACGATAATGCCCTTTATTAATAATAAAATTTTAATTACGACTTATTTTATTACATAAATCTCGCTCCTCCATTTTCTTTATCTAACCCGACCCCTCTAATTTATTTATATAAACCCTTATAATCATAAAATCCCTTTTCACCATATCCCCCTTCATTGATCTGTTTAAGAAATTAGTGAGATTAATTGCCGGGATGCTCATACCAAGTAATTGATCGTCCTACCCGCTCACACGTGATACCCCGGCAATTTATTTGCATCATGTTTGTTGGGTCTAACACTAGTCTTTGCGAGTTACATTTGAAGAGTTTACTGTATGGCGTTTTACGATTAAGATTATAGCATCCAATCAGAATCAAGATTTTCGTTTCATTACGCTTTCGTGATTTGTATCACTACAGTGAATTCACATTTTTGACCGTCACCTAATCAAAACCGCGATTTTGCACACGTGCCGTTCTAAATGGCAGTTAATCATCATTTTGTGATTTGTATCACTATGTTCCTGGTATTTGTATACATTTTTATTAATGTGTCACTTATACTGCAAGAGTTTAGTCATTGCAGCTAAGGCGAATTGAAAATCACAACTCAAACTAACAATGTGATAAATGACTCGATCATTTAAAATTGTCTAAAATTTTCTGGTGGCCTCAAATGACTTCGAAATGACCGGTCATCCAAATTTTAGGTAGGTCATTTGAAAATGACTCATGATCAAATGATCTTGATCATCCACGAATGACCTGGGTCATTCAGGTCATTAGCTTATTGTGTATATAGTAACGT